AATAATAAAAATAACATAACAATAATAATAATAACCTACAATAAAGTGCCACACCTCTAGCGCTACATCCTTTAGCTGATACACCAGTAACAGTATCAGTACTCTTAACAGTGCCTAAAACAATAATAATAATAATAATAATAATAATAATAATAATAATAATAATAATAATAATAATAATAAACTACAATAAAGTACCAAACCTCTAGTGCTACGTCCCTTAGTTGATGCACCAGTATCAAAATCAGTATTATTAACAGTGCCTAAAACAATAATAATAATAATAATAATAATAATAAACTACAATAAAGTGCCAAACCTCTAGTGCTACGTCCCTTAGTTGATACACCAGTATCAGTATCAGTACTCTTAACAGTGCCTAAAACAATAATAATAATAATAATAATAATAATAATAATAATAATAATAATAATAATAATAATAATAAACTACAATAAAGTGCCAAACCTCTAGTGCTACGTCCCTTAGTTGATACACCAGTATCAGTATCAGTACTCTTAACAGTGCCTAAAACAATAATAATAATAATAATAATAATAATAATAATAATAATAATAATAATAATAATAATAATAATAAACTACAATAAAGTACCAAACCTCTAGCACTACGTCCCTTAGTTAATGTACCAGTATCAGTATCAGTACTCTTAACAGTGCCTAAAACAATAATAATAATAATAATAATAAACTACAATAAAGTGCCACACCTCTAGCGCTACGTCCTTTAGTTAATGCACCAGTATCAGTATCAGTACCATTAACAGTGCCTAAAACTATAATAATAATAATAAACTACAATAAAGTGCCACACCTCTAGTGCTACGTCCTTTAGCTGATACACCAGTATCAGTATCAGTATCATTAACAGTGCCTAAAACAATAATAATAATAATAATAATAATAAACTACAATAAAGTGCCATACCTCTAGTGCTACGTCCTTTAGTTGATGCACCAGTATTAGTGCTCTCAATAGTGCCTAATAATAATAATAATAAACTATGATAATGTCCACACCTTTAGTGCTACATTCATTATTTGGTGAACCTCTCATACCATTTAGTCCAATAGTAGTTACTCTGTTCTTGCATTTGACCCTATAGGTAAGTTATTAAAATACAAAAATTTTGTTTACAAGTTAACCTTTTTCTTTTGTTGACGTTTTAGTTCAGCTGCTATCTGCCAAATTTCCTTCTGCTGAATCCGTTCTTGCTTCTGTCTCTCTTTTTCTTGTTTCTTCTCCTCTTTGTCTTGCAGCAATTTGAGACTTTCAGCTGATGTAATTACTCTGTCTGAATACACCTGTTGTTGTGTGTTTGACTGTGGTGGGGATGGAAGTGTCAAAAACCTACTAAAAGAGCTTCGGTATGAAGGCTGATGATATGTGGATTGCTCCTGATCATCATGTGGTGAAGAGGAGTCGAGTCCTTTAGCTTTAAGCCAAGCATTATAGCGAGCATCAGTTTTTATATCATAACCATTTTCCCATCGACGTTCAAATCTAACAACTTCTTCCTTGGTAAACACAAGATCATCATCAGAGAGTGAAGATATAGGTGATGAAACAGGAGGAGAAAACTTGGTGGAGGGACTGCTGGTGATACAAAAGTAGAACATAAATGACGAGACTTTTTGGGGATATATATTGGTATATAGAGTCCAGAGTCATGAGCAAAATCAGTGGTAACGGGCGATTCAATGGGTAACTTAATGGCATCCCGATTAAATGGATAGACTCCTGTAGTTGAAAATGAATTTCTGGTATTATGGACAGTCATAGCTTGCATCCAAGCTTTTGAAAAAATAGAGCAAAAGTTATACTTATTGATAGCCATATGAGGATTATTGCTACAAAATTGATGGCATTCTTTTCTCCAGTGTGACTTCAACGGACCAAATACACCTTTATCCAGAGGCTGAGTCAGATGGGTTGTATTCGGTGGGAATGTAAAAATCACTACTTTCTCCTTTGCTGCTAAACAAATGGTGTCAGGGCAGTAGTGTGATGAGTGACCGTCTAGTAGCAATAGTAGTGGTCTTGCTTTAGGAGCATAATGTAGAAAGAGCTTT